AGAATGTACCGTCCTTGAACGCGTCGTCCCCGAAAGGTACGAGATGGGGGTAAGAGTCTGAGCAGAGCTCATCTCCAGAGAAAACGCACTTGAAGACTTTCATCTTCTTTATTTCTGATATTTTAAATTCAGAAAATGCAAAAAAAAGAGATGGGCATACACTAGACGGAGACGCAACGACAAGAAACCACGGTGTGGGGGGGGCTGTTGTTTCAGGTTTCGTTGCATACAAAACCAGCCCCGTGCGAAATTCAAGTTCAGGTGTGTGCTGCTAGTGCTCCTAAATAGCGCTTTCCTCGCATAATCCGATGGTTTTCTTGAATAATATAAATAAAATGTTAATATAAATGCATTTTACAAGCTTGAAACAACAAAAATCATTATCTAAACCCTAGGTTTCCATGTATACATGTATGGGTGACGAACGGGGCCCGCTCGCAGCTCCGTGTGGGCCGTTGCGCTCCGTGTCTGAAGAATTCCATTTAGAATGATCTTATTGGAATTGTTGTTTTAATTAAGTCTTTATAAGCGGTGATTCACAGATTTCTGTCCTTGAGGTTACTGAGGACAGGCAGCAGCAGCAGCTCCTGGCGTTGAGGCCGTGTGCATGTGCGCCAGCAGGAGCATGACAACATAAACCTTTTCAGGTTTTTTTGAATTTGAAGATAAAATAATCACTTTTCTCATTCAGTTTACTTTTTTTCTTTTTGGTAAGTCTTCTTCGGCTGCATCACCTCTCTGCAGATGCCACGGAAACATATACTTGTGTCTGTTTTCTTGAATTTGCGGGCTCGTTGTGATTAAGCAGTTGTTTCTGTTTTTTTTCATCTTTTTTGAGACCACGGATTTTTTTTTATTCATGAGAGCCACAATGCCTGCATAATACTTCTGCGATCCGTTTGGTATTTCGCTGTGTTCTGTTGAATATATTTCATGTTTCCTTTGTGTTTCATGTGCGTCTGTGTGTGCATGTTTAGAGAATGACGATCGACATCAACCTGCTACGAGAGGAGAAGGGTGGTTGTCCAGCTAAAGTGGCTGAAAGCGAGAAACGGAGAGGCCGGGATCCCGCAATTGTTGATGAGCTGGTGGCAGCAGACAAACGATGGCGCGAGGCCACGTATAATATGGAGCAGGGGAGAAAGGACTTGAACGCGGTGAACAAAGAGATAGGCCAGCGTAAGAAAGCTGATCCAAAATCCCCCTGCGATGATCTTGTATCGAAAACAGCAGCCATCAAGCAAAAGCTGCAAAGCCTTGAGGCTCAGGCAGCAGAAGCAGCACAAACACGAGACAGACTGCTACGAGGCATTGGAAACATCGTGCATGACTCTGTGCCTGTAAGCAACGATGAAGCAAACAACAGAGTTGTTAAGACGTGGGGGACCCCCAATAAAGTTGAAATAGATGGAACACCAGGCCGCATGCACCACCACGAAGTACTCGCGCGGCTGCAGGGCGTTGATTTCAAGAAGGGGGTAGAGGTTGCAGGCCATCGCGGGTACTACCTGAAGGGGCCCGCGGTGATGCTTAACTATGCTTTGATTCAATACGGCCTCAACTTCCTCATGCAGC